TTTCGACACGTTTCCTTACACCTGTTGTCCTGTTCACATGCCTATCTATGTCAATGACATGCCTATCAGTGTCAAGTGCAATTTCCTACTGTATGCAGATGACAGTGCCCTGCTAGTGTCAGGTAAAGACCCACAAGATATAGCTTATGTTTTAACACTGGAACTGGAGTCCTGCAGCAAATGGTTAGTAGACAACAAACTATCATTACACCTAGGGAAAACTGAAGCCATTCTCTTTGGCACGAAACATAAACTGAGAAGGGTAAATAATTTTAATGTCCAGTGTAATGGGGAGCCCATCACTTTGGTTTCATCAGTAAAATATCTGGGAATCCCCTTTGACCCATGCATGTCAGGAGAATTGATAGGGAACAGTGTAGTAAAGAAAGTGAATGCCAGACTGAAGTTCCTGTATAGACAAGCACAGTGTCTACCTCCTGAGGCTCGCAGGACCCTATGTCTAGCCCTTATACAATGCCATATGGATTACGCTTGCTCTTCATGGTACTCTGCCTTGACAAAAAAACTGAAAGATAGACTGCAAATCACCCAGAACAAAATCGTAAGATTCATCCTGGACCTGGGAACAAGAGAACATGTAGGCCAGAATGAATTACAGCAGTTGGATATGCTGAATGTTGAAGACAGAGTAAAACAACTGAAGCTAAATCATGTTTATAAAATTGCTCACAAACAGTGTCCAGAATATCTTGCTGTCAATTTTGTCAAGGTTGGGAACCAAAGCAATCATAGTACTAGGGGGAGAGAGCACAACTTTGTAGTACCCACAGTCAGTGGCCAGGCTTCAAACACCTTTTATTGTACAGCAATAAAGGAATGGAACAGACTACCCGCACATGTCAAAGCCAGTCATAGCATGAACCAGTTCAAGAAGAGTGCCAAAAGGTGTCTGATGAATGAAGCTACAGAAAGGGAGGGGAATGATTTTCTATTTTTTAGCTAACATACGTGTAAATTTTACCTTATTCGTAGTAATGACCCTCGTATTGTAGATAGTCTTAATGACCCTCGTGTAGTAGATAGTCTTTTTAGTATGATAATAAGATGTTATCTTCATTATAGAATAATAAGAAAATATTATAACCTTTATATTATAATAATAAGGTAAAAGGACCCCAATGGAAATAAGTCACTCTGTCTGACTTTTTTGGGTTATCCTAGGTTCTCTACACATGTGCTGCTATGTATGAAACTGTATTTGTGTATACCTGAATAAACTTGCTTACTTATTCACCTAGCAGCAAATAGGTACCTGGATGTTAGTCGACTGGTGTGGGTTGCATCCTGGGGGACAAGATTAAGGACCACAATGGAAATAAGACAGACAGTCCTCGATGACCCACTGACTTGTGATGAATGGTTTGAAAAACCGACAAGTTGAAGATTGAGACACTTATGCAGCATATGGGAATCTTTATTCAGGAAACGTTTCGCCACACAGTGGCTTCATCAGTCCAATACAAAGAGGAAGGCGTAAGGAGAGGAGGAGAATGAGGTAATCAGTCCCTCAACCTGGAGTCGATGTGTTCAGTCCATCAATCTTGTAGAATGTACAGCATAGGGCCGTAGACGTGGCTTATATACTGTAGTGAGGTGACGTGAAGCAGATGGAGGCGGGGTCATAGTGGTACCATCCACTAGTCGAAGTAGGTCTACGTCCAAAGGTTGAACAAGTGTTGAAGAATTCTTTGTAACAAGATCCCATGATGCTGCAGTGTCTGACAGTTGTGATGAATGGTTTGAAAAACCGACAAGTTGAAGATTGAGACACTTATGCAGCATATGGGAATCTTTATTCAGGAAACGTTTCGCCACACAGTGGCTTCATCAGTCCAATACAAAGAGGAAGGCGAAAGGAGAGGAGGAGAATGAGGTAATCAGTCCCTCAACCTGGAGTCGATGTGTTCAGTCCATCAATCTTGTAGAATGTACAGCATAGGGCCGTAGACGTGGCTTATATACTGTAGTGAGGTGACGTGAAGCAGATGGAGGCGGGGTCATAGTGGTACCATCCACTAGTCGAAGTAGGTCTACGTCCAAAGGTTGAACAAGTGTTGAAGAATTCTTTGTAACAAGATCCCATGATGCTGCAGTGTCTGACAGTTGTGATGAATGGTTTGAAAAACCGACAAGTTGAAGATTGAGACACTTATGTGTGGCGAAACGTTTCCTGAATAAAGATTCCCATATGCTGCATAAGTGTCTCAATCTTCAACTTGTCGGTTTTTCAAACCATTCATCACAACTGTCAGACACTGCAGCATCATGGGATCTTGTTACAAAGAATTCTTCAACACTTGTTCAACCTTTGGACGTAGACCTACTTCGACTAGTGGATGGTACCACTATGACCCCGCCTCCATCTGCTTCACGTCACCTCACTACAGTATATAAGCCACGTCTACGGCCCTATGCTGTACATTCTACAAGATTGATGGACTGAACACATCGACTCCAGGTTGAGGGACTGATTACCTCATTCTCCTCCTCTCCTTACGCCTTCCTCTTTGTATTGGACTGATGAAGCCACTGTGTGGCGAAACGTTTCCTGAATAAAGATTCCCATATGCTGCATAAGTGTCTCAATCTTCAACTTGTCGGTTTTTCAAACCATTCATCACAACTGTCAGACACTGCAGCATCATGGGATCTTGTTACAAAGAATTCTTCAACACTTGTTCAACCTTTGGACGTAGACCTACTTCGACTAGTGGATGGTACCACTATGACCCCGCCTCCATCTGCTTCACGTCACCTCACTACAGTATATAAGCCACGTCTACGGCCCTATGCTGTACATTCTACAAGATTGATGAACTGAACACATCGACTCCAGGTTGAGGGACTGATTACCTCATTCTCCTCCTCTCCTTACGCCTTCCTCTTTGTATTGGACTGATGAAGCCACTGTGTGGCGAAACGTTTCCTGAATAAAGATTCCCATATGCTGCATAAGTGTCTCAATCTTCGACCCACTGACTTCTTGGGTTATCCTGGGTGGCTAACCCTCCAGGGTTAAAAATCCGAACGAAATCTGAGCTTATCTTATTTGATTCTCCTGCAAATACTTCTCTTTACACCCAAGTGATGTTATAGTTTATTGTCTGTTCATTAAGGGTAATTTATCAACACTATATATTCGACTCTTCAACTCTCTTTTATATATTATAATGTATTATTTATTCAAGGCAATTACTTTCTTCAAGGTTAAAAAAAAATATTAAAATTTTTTTTAAGATTCAAAGAAAAAATTTCAATTTATTCTATGCATTAGACAGGTTTGAAGCCTGTCTAATGCATAATGATAATTAAAGCTGAAATTAACGTTTACGTTCAAAAATACTTTAAACTCTAAGATAGTTTTCCTGTCAGGTTTAATGCATTATTTAAATAGTTAATTTATCTAAGAATACCACACAAGAATTTATGTTTGTTTGGCCGAGTCTGGTTAAAATGCAACACACATTGCATACACTGGAACTGGGACCACAAGAAACATTACCAGCAGACTTACCACGCAGAGGGAGTAAAGTGTGTGCTTAACAACAAGATAACTCAAATTAACTCAAATGAAACCGGTTTGCGATAGTTACTGGTAAAGTGGTGGTGGCGGGTGCCAACTAGTAGTCACTTTTACGAGGCTGGTGAACCTGCAGCGTCGAACGTCTCGTTGGTAAATTTCACATAATAGCGATAATAATAGCGATCTCGTATAGTGACAGGATGTGCTGTACGAGATGCAGGGAATCTATTATTGTCTCTCCTGGAGGTTAATCTTTTTTTTTCTTTTTTTTGCTGTACTTGCCACTGTGAAGTGAGAATTGCTAGTTTCACTAAGGAAGTCGTAGTGGAAGGTAAATGTACAAAATTTGTTGTTATTCTGCTTGTGTAGCCAAATTTTTGTTGTTGCTGAACCTGGTTAAGTGTTAGTGCGATATTATTTTCAAAAGAATTTGAGTCTATTGGATTTTTAGACTAAAAAATTGACAACATAACTAATATATTCGCCAATATAAAAAACTTAGGTCGTCATTAACAACTAATCACCTTGAGGTGATCAGTTGTTTACGTGCTAGATAGGTAAAACTTGTGATTTTGGCTTAAATAGCAACGCTCTTCTTGCCGAATAAGGTAAGCGAAAATTTTTGTATGCAATAATTTCGCAAAAATCATTGTGAACCTAACGTAAAAAATATATTTCATTGTGTTTATTAAATTATTGTAAATTTATCTAAAATATATTTAGTTGGATTAGGCTAAATTAAATTGCGCTTGTTATAATAAGGTTAGGTCAGTTTTCTAAGGTTCTTTTGCTACAAAATTATTAATTTTGGCATTAACATTTATGAAAAAATATATCTTTAAACGTATAAGAGAAAATTTTAGAAAGGACTTAATTTTAAATGAGTTCTTTCTAATTAACCAGTTTTACCTCTTCGGTACGACATATAACAAAAGCACAAATACATCACGAAACCATGGGAGTAAAATCAGAGCCAGAAACCTTCCAGTACAAAAACTATTCATATATGAGGCTGAACTACTTAACTTAAAATGACAAAGAGCACTGTGTGGGGAGAGATGCTCACTCAGATGTGAGGGATGTAAGTCTGTAGTAAGGAAACGTATGAATGAGCAAATAAAATTTAGGTAAGACTTGCATTCAGCTGATGCCTGTTACTTCGACTGTTGATCAAATAGTTTCATGGCTGGGAGAATAAAACAAGTGGATGGGGAAGGGGTGACATCAAACATACCAGTGATTCTACATTAGATAAGTTTTTAGAAGACATCAACTGTGATAACTTAAAGTTGGACTTCAAATAAGATGCATGAAGGTTATCCATCACATTGTGATGAAGAATGTGGACAAAATGTCTTCCTAATACTCCAGAAGCATTTCGATGACAAATTGATGCATATCTCTGTTCTTGATCTGTCGTTTCGTTTAATTGTTCGTGATATACTATTATGTTCAGACTCTTTGAAAATGATGATGATGATAATGTCATTGTCAGGAACGTCAGGAAAAAAAACTTGTAAGTGTGTAGAGATTGGATGCCTATGAACA